AGCATCACTGGGCTGGACAAATGGAGTGTAAAATTGCTCAGGTTTTCCCATAGTCTTGAGTTTCAGCTACTATCAACAGAATGATTTCTGTCAGGGTTGGCTCTCAGGAATTTCAAGGATGCCATATATTTGGGATAGAGTTATATAATAAGTCCAATGGAATAACAAATGATAAGTGTGTTATCAAACAACATTTTTAAAGCATTTCAGATCATCCTAGTTTAAATCAAGTTATCAGTGTTCTTTGCCATTCCATTTCCACAGTATTTGAATCTTGTCCTTTCCCTCTCACTTTTTTTTTTTTGGCGATTGGGGAGCACAGTATTGCAGACTGTATTAAAGTATTCTGGTTTGTAAGTGAAATGGTGAAATCACCTCTCTCTTAAATAATATTGATGCCAGGAAAAGCTTTCCCTGTCATTTAAATTACATTTCCAGTAAGCTCTTAACTTTCTAACAATATGATTTAGCCATTGTAATATTTCTTCTTTGCATCTTTTAATAGTCTATGTGGATTGAGAGAACATCCTTTACTACAGCTTATAAACTCCCAGGAATCTTACGTTGGTTTGAGGTTGTCTCCATGTCACAGGTGTGTATTAGAGTTCTGGTAGGTATTATACATAGTTTAACCTTCAGAAATAGAAAGAAGGAGCCCATGCTATTTTATGACAAAAATAAAACAAAGTATTATGTTCCCAGGGAATCAGAGGTAGTATTCAGTAGGTTCTGACCAGTTCTGGAGAACCAGTAGTAGAAATTTTGAGTAGTTCAGAGAACCAGCAAATACCACCTCTGGCTGGAGATTTTACAGCATCCTTCCCCTGCCATGTCCACCAAGCCATGCCCACAGAACCGGTAGTAAAAAAAAAATTGAATCCCACCACTGCAGGGAATCCATTTCCTCACTAAGCAATATGGTTCAATGTGCACTTGATTTGCTGAGATTGGGGAATTTTAATAAAATGCTAACACATTTCATAATAAATGAAAGATTCTCTCATATTCCAATGCAGCCAAGCTGATCCATAATAGCAATAGCACTTAGACTTGTATATCACTTCACAGTGCTTTACAGCCCTCTCTAAGTGGTCAGCATATTGTCTCTAACAATCTGGGTCCTCATTTTACTGATCTTGGAAGGATGGAAGGCTGGGTCAACCTTGAACTAGTCAGGATCGAACTGCCAAACTGCTGGCAGTCAACAGTCAGCCGAATTAGCATGCAATCCTGCATTCTAAGCATTACACCACCATGGCTCTTAAAGTTGCAGATGGGACTGATGATAATCTTGTTTCCTCCTCCTTAGATTACAATTAGCCCATTGGAGAATGCCATTGAAACAATGACCATGACAAATGAGAAGATTCTGGCGATGATCAATCAGTACCAAAGTGATGAGAACCTTCCCATTAACCCACTCTCCATGCTTCTGAATGGAATTGTTGATCCAGCAGTCATGGGAGGGTTTGCTAAGTACGAAAAGGTAAGGGATTTAATTATCGTATTTAAAATGAAATGATCCTCCAGTATAGGGGTCCTCAAACTTGGCAACTTTAAGACTTGTGGGCTTCAACTCCCAGAATTCTCTAGGCAGGATAGCTGGCTGGAGAATTCTGGGAGTTGAAGTCCACAAGTCTTAAAGTTGCCAAGTTTGGAGGCCTCTGCTCCAGAATATTAGATCTTCAGCACAACCCATGAATGTCACGTTCAGATGAAAGACTAAGTAACTCCCTTTCTGCTTGCAGGCTTTCTTCACAGATGAGTACACTAGGGATCACCCAGAGGATCAGGAGAAACTAAACCGACTCAAAGACCTGATTGCTTGGCAGGTATTGAAATGCTGGGCACAATTCTCTGATTGTTTAAATAAATAATTTCTCCACTTTCTTTTGCTGATTGATCTCATTTCCAGAGGGGAAGCACATCAATATATAATGCATGCACATTTTCCTTCTGTTTTCCTTTGTTTGTTTATTTGTTTGAAGAAGAATACTTGTCTAAAATGTGACTGGAAATATCACATAAAAGTATGTTGTAAAAGTTTTTCATCCACATTTAATGAGCCTCCTTTCCTGAACAAAAACATCAGGAATCCCTTGGTGATTTAGCTGAATGCTCTCTCGAAATGTTATGCAATGTTAAGAGAGAGAGAAAAAACTGACATCATGGTATTTCTGTTGCTTTCAGATAAAGAGGAACCAAGTGAAAACACTGATTTTTGCATAGGTTTTGAATTTTTGAATGATGTTTAATTCTCTGCTATTAACAGCTTCATCAGGCTTGGGTAAAAACAACCTATTAACACTCTGAACTCCTGAAAATATCACTTCTATTTTTATGTTCTTGCTAAAATATCAAATGTGGCAACTTTATGAGGGATGTAGCATAATGGCAATGCTTTTTTTTTCAGAGACTATTTTTTGCTTTTAGTTTGTTTCTGAATAAGTCACCCACCATTGTCAGTATCTTCCTTCTTCTACTGACATTTGAATCAGTAGAAATAACTACTGTTTGTGTGGAAATAGCGACTAAAATATATATGCAAACAAATGTTTAATCTTGGTGTTATGAAGTAAGTCATTCATTTATGTGTTTGCATATATTTTATATCAACTCCATGGTTGTTTTCACAAATATCCTCATATCTTTGGTGCATAATAGCACCATGGTCTTTTGTGATATCTTCACACCCTATTCTAGATTGCATTCAGAGGAGATCCCACCATTAATGGTGGTGTCCAATGTAATTTAGAATACTAGAAAGTTAGAACTTCAAATTGTTTTAATAATTCTGAGTCATTATTAAAGAAGGTTACCTAATGTAAACAGTCAACCTCTAAACACAAAAATAAATCTGTCCATTGGTGTAGTCCCATTTTTCATGTACCAAAAGAGGAATTACCTGAGAAACATGAAGATTCACAGTCTTTCTGGACAGAACAGGTGAAGTACTACACTGAGGGAAACATCAGCACTGTGCCAGTTCCTTGAAAAGCAGGAGTCAAAGCGATTCATAAATATTGGAAGAGATAAACTAGCACAGATGGAGATTCTCTGGCTTTTGTAAAATCTGAGTAATGTGTAACCTCCTCACAATTTTAGTAGAGGGGATGTTGCAAAATGGTGTGCCTCAAAATATTGAGAAATGCCTATCTCAGATTTTTGACAACTGTGAGTCAGTAAGCTCTTGTAAACTGTGTGTAGGCCTGAGGCTGTAGACTATTACCCATGAGTTTAGAGGACATAGCTATCATCCTGATTGCGGATTGAATGATTACCAATATACTCCATCAAGGTGGTGTTGACTCTTAACAGTAGCACAGATAAATCTGTTTCAGATCTGACTTTTCAAGTCTTCCAAAGGTACATCCATCATTACTCTAATCAAGTCCTAGTTGTTGGAAATCTACTCCTTCCTCCCAGCTCCTTTCTTCTTCTTCTTCTAGCATATGGATTTCTCAAGAGAACTAGGTCATTACATACTATGTCCAAAATGTGAAACATCTGGTTATTTTGTGCCTGGTTATTTCATATGACAACTTTGGATTGATTCATTGTATAATTTCTTTGTTTTCTTAGCTACTTATATTATTCTCAAGAGTCATCCCTACACCAGAGTTCAAAAGTGCTAATCCTCTTTCTAGCTTGTTTGTTCAAAGTACAAGTTTTACTTTCCTAGAGTACCACAGGGAAAACCATTGCCAGCACAGTTCTAATATTTGTAGGCATAGATATATCATGGCATCTGAATACTTTTCCAAGTCTTTCACTGCTACTCTGTCATCTGAGATTGTGCAGCATATTTCACGACTGCTGTTTCCTTTATGTATTGTTGTTAGCTGATTTTAAAAGGCAGAAATTTTCCCTCACTTGGATATTTACATTATAAATTCTAAGGTTGTTTGCTGTACCTGTTATTGTTTATTTATTTATTTATATTGAATCTTATCCCATTTCTTCACATTACTCCTTCACTTACATTATAAGAGCTTGCATTTTCAACTATCAGAGTTAGTGTCATCAGCATGGTGTAGGTTATTGATGTTTCTTCCTCCAACTTTAAAAGCCTACTTATCTTCTTGCAATCCAGCTTCTCTGAATTCAGCATATAAGGCATTGAATAAATAAGGGGAGAGTGTTGTTTTATCCTTCAATCTGAAATCAGTCTGTCCAGCTCTAATCTAGCCATATCATAAAAACTATTATTATTCTGGAAAATTCTCAGATTTTTATCTGTGACAAACTGAATGGTATCTGACATGAGGACCATTATCTATCACTATATTATCAATCACATTATAATTTATGTGATGATTTGCTAAAATACAGGAAAGATACCATTAACCTTCTTCTACACCATAGTCACTAAAGAGACCATCTGTCTCCAGTATCTTCCTATACTGCTGTTACTCACTATAGGTGCTTGGTAGCATAGCTGGGATGACCTTCAGGCCTTGAATGACCGTTCTGGAAATAGATACTGTACTCTTGGCATCAGTGGCGGATTAAGGCTCACTGGTGCCTTAAGCACTGACAAATCTTGGTGCCAGCCTCCTTTGTACATACTGTACAAACAAAGCCAAGCTTAGGCTACATAAAAGTTTTTGTGGAGCCCCCTTTAGACCTGGTGCCCTGAACACATGCTTAGTCTGCTTAATGATTAATACACCATTGCTTAGCATTCATTCCTGGTGTTCTTTGCTGATCCTTCCCAGGAAGGCACACACATACATACATGATAATGAGGAAACAACCATGCTACTGTGGTTGAAATTTCAATTGAACTGGCTTTGCATTTAAACTTATGAATGTTTTGATCACTTAGCAAAATGCTTCCAATGTAATCTTTGTAACACAGTGAAAATGTCCACTATGTACCCATTGTAAATTGTTGGCTTATCGTACATTTCACCAATCATACTAATCTGGCCTACATTCTGAAGACATGATGTATTTTCTGTCACTCTTCATCTTAAGAATATATGAAGTATCATAAATTATCCATCCATTTATACTTTTATTGAATATCATTATGCACAGGAAACAAAAAAGTGCAATTATATTTTTCTGGAAGGTTGTACTTCACCCTTCTGTAATTATTTTCTTGCAATTTATAGTAAGATGGATTGGTACCTGTTTGAAAGGAAAGAAGAAAATGTCATCTAGCAAATATATTACAAATCACATTTTGTAACTGTATCCAATTTAACATGTTCTGGAGACATGGGGAATATGAAATAGCATGACTGAATTTTTTTCTTATTGCTTTTTAGGTTCCATTTCTTGCAGCTGGAATTAAGATTCATGAAAGAAGAGTATCAGATAGCCTTCGTCCTTTCCATGAACGTATGGAGGAATGTTTCAGGCATTTAAAGGTTAAAGTAGAAAAACAATATGGAATCAGAGAATTGGTAAGATTTGGTCTTTTAATTTTATAATTTTTAAAATTATATTTTATCTTAACAAGAAAAAAAAATCATGAAATTTGGCCTGTGATGTAATAGCATTACAACTGTCTACTTGTGATTTAAATTGTGATTTAAATTTACTTCCTCTTTCAAACAATAGACTTTATCTCACATATTGCTAAGAAACTTCCATGACTGTTAAAATGTATTTATATTCCTCATTTTATTAGGAGGGAGGAAACAAACCTTATGAACAATGTCATCCAGAGCTTAGTACTTCTCATTCTCTTAAACCATTGGTCTAATAATTTTAATGGCTCAGAGTTTTGAATAAGAATGAATAACCAGGAATGTTCCATTCTGTTTTTTTTTCCTGAAGAATTCCAACTGTTTGATGAATCTATTTCTGAAACAACGTATAATTTAGTATAAAATATAAATATGAGTTGATGTTAAAATAGCAGTATGCAAAATCTGCAGAATAGAATTATCAACCCTGTGATTGTCATGGTTCTTGGAGCACATCTGGCTAAATAACTAAATAATAAGGTGAAGTGTTTGACATCACTAAGAATAGGAAGGGAGGTTGTTATATGAAGGCTTACAGGCTTCAGGATATGGAGACTGAAGAAATGTTCCTAGTTAGTGAACCTTAAACCTCTTTTGTGGGGGAAGGCATAGACCTAACTTCCAACAAATGCAAATTATAGATAGTTGACAATGTGTATTCATTGTATTAAATTAGTTTCTCTCAGTTCTCTAGCTTAGGGTTCTTATTTGTTATGAAAAACAAGTATTTTGCTAAGCACGTAACTAGATGCTGAACAGGCTATGTCCTTTTCAGTTCAGTTGAAATGCATGTATATATATCATCTTTGACTATGAGTTGGAATAGAGATGTCTTAAATTAGATGTTGGCAATTTAATTGTTGGCAAGGCATCACAGAGTGGTCAAATGCCTCCTAGTCTTGTGAGACATTTGCAATCTCATCTCAAATTCTTGTGTGGAGACACCAAATTACATTTAAAAATTCAAATTCAGAAGTAGATCTTTACAAGAATTTTGAATTCTTGCACAAGATTTCATGACTGTTACCAATTTAGACTTATTGAAGCCCTTCTGCATGATTTTACTGTGAATATGGTGAGTTACATCATAGAGGCTGTTTTTGACAGCATCAGATGCTCTAGCACTTTAGGCACCATCTAAAACTTGATATAAATGAATCATAAGGGAACGAATATATCATACTGGAAAATTAATTTAATCTGGTCAGCCATAAACCATGGGAATGTATCCAGAGTCTGATAGTGTGTTACAGTTTGATTATAAACCAAGCAGATAGAGACCAGCAGAAGGATTTCAGTATTATAACATACAGAATGCATGGCTACTGTGTCTTTTTTAAGTATATAGAAGTCATTACAATTTAAGTACTGCTTAGACTCTGTCTTGGATTGAAATTGTCTATCTGTTATCATAGTACATGAATGAAAATTCATCACTTTTAGACAGATAGGAAAAAATAAATTACCTCACTCTGGAAGAAGTTTCTCATAAATTAATAAGCTCAGGGGATGACAGTATTTAATGCATCAGCCAATGCATATGAAAACTACTTAATATGACCAGTCAAATTCGTGTGCTTTTATCATTTTTCTTGGGGTCTCTGGTGTAGCCCTTCCCTGTGAAGGCAGCTGTGTTGATCATGTCTTGCTCCTGCATTTAGAATTCAAAGATTCAGAAGCAATTCGCACTGCAAATAAAATCTAAAATGTGTTTGAAAATAATGTTGGAAACTCTAAATGACTTTCCTGCATTTCTTGCCAGGTCTAACTCTCTGAGTACAATGAGTTGAGTTGAGAATGGAGTCTGAAGTAGGAGATTATGAGCCAATTTTCATTTGAACATTGTAATAACCCTGCAATACTTTAAGGCTAAATTTTCAGGTTTTAAAATAGGGAAGTGGCAGTTTTCCAACACACATACAGAGAGAGAGAGAGAGAGAGAGAGAGAGAGAGAGAGA